GAAGACACTAACATCTGCAGGAACCACTACTTTATGATATAATGTTGCCTACAAAAGAAAAAAATCAGACAAAATCCAGGCTTTGAGATAGCTGCCGCTACTTTCTTTAGCTAATCAACATACTGTTCTTCAAGGTTATAAACATGAGCATGCCACACAGTGGCAGAACCTACATATGCAAGCACAAGCAACCACAGAATGCAGGAAAAATTGTGTAAATTTGAATTTTAGCTGATTTATTGCTGCCAGAGGTGAGGACTGTCAATTACAGAGGAGGTAAGAACCATCCTATGGGGTCCTCGCTTCTGGCTTATCAAGTTTACTGAGAAATCCTGCTTTGTTAAAAGAGAATTTCTGCATAAATCAATAGTGGAGATGTGAACAAAGTCTGTCAGAGTGGTTTGATGTGAAATGGTTCATTGTAGAGAAACCTGTCCACTCAGATTTCTGGTGGTGATTGGAACCAGGCCTCACAATCTCTACAACACAAAGAGATTCAATTTGTTTGCTATTCAAAAAGACCAGTGAACCTACACGTGGCTTCTGAGGGTTTTTATTCACTTAGGAAATCAAGAAAACATCATTTGACCACAAACTTTTGCACACAACTGTATAGCCAGTTTATTTACTTTTCAAAATGACCAGTGAACTTACTGGGGCTTCTGAGCTTTAATACGCAAAGCTGATTATGGCAAAATAGTAATACACAAACACACACACACACACAAACACACACACACACACACACACACACAGACACACACACACACACACACACACACACACACACACACACATTTTTTAAGCCACTTATCCTTCTAGGTTGCAGGGGGGTGCTGGAGCCCATCCTAGCAGTCACTGCACAGAAGGCAGGATCTCTCTCTCTTCTCTCTCTCTCTCTCTCTCTCTCTCTCTCTCACTCTCTCTCTCTGTATCCACCAGAGTTGTTGCAGTGGTTCGATTACATACCAGCAGAGCCAGGCTCGTCCATGCAATGAAAAATCACACTTACAAAAAATAATTAAGTGCAGGAAAGTTCCCCGCCAGTGCTGACAAGCCTGTACTGACGGAAATTCCTGCTTTAAGGAATAAGGGGCAGCTGGAAGATCTCCTCACTGACTCGTATACCATACCACCACTCACAAGCCTCAAAAAGCAGGAGTCCTTACTTAACCAGACAACTTAAAGCACAAAAAAACTTTTCTTTGGGGTCTATTTTGCCATAGAATGCCCTGGATGTACCCCTCAACCATGAAAGGATTTAAAAAAAAGGTTTTAGGCCACAAGCTTATCATAAAGCGATTGTTACAAAAACCCTTTGCATGATTAAAGTGTTCTTTGCATCATGAAAGGGATCTTCAGATGGATGGAGAATGTGCTGTAGATGGTTCATTATAGAACTTTTTTGGAAGATTTTATTATGTATATATAGTTCTGTATCAACAGAACTTTCATATAATGTATATAGGGCTCCATACAGCATATCACTGTTGTCAGAAGAAAACCTCGATCTCCAAAATGATATCTTTACAGGAGAAGGAAAAAACCTACTTTACTTTCAATGTAAGTCAATGGAACCAGACGTTTTTCCAAGCAATTTTGGGCCGTTTATTTTGGTCCATTCATCATGAAATTCAAACACAATGTAAAGGGCAACAGGCATTTTCAAATTATGTCAAAAACTAGAAAATGACAAAAATGGAGATACAAGGTTTTCTTCGGACAAAAGCAATATATAGTTTCATATCATATTGTTACGATGTCAATTTTGTTGCAATAGAAGAATTATGTCGGGTGCTATATAGAACCCTCTTCAAAAAGGTTCCTTATAGAACCATCTACAGCACATTCTCCATCAATCTGAACAACTCATGATGCAAAGAACCCTTTGCATGATTAAATAGTTCCTTGTGTGTTCACGGTTCTATATAGAACAATTTCCTTTACTAAAGAACCCTTGAAGAACCATCCTTTTTAAGAGTTTAGTACAAAGCATTCCACATCAAATCACCCCAAACAACTTTCTCTGCATCTTTCCATCCTTAATTATGTGGAAATTGCTAAGAATCCCTTGTGAATGCCTCCAACACACGCACATACAGAACCTCACAGCACCGAGACCTTCATTGGATGGTAGAGTATCACCATAACTGATCGGGAAAGTGGAATTGGTCTGGCTGAACTAGCCCCTCCCCGCTACTGTCCGGCTGTCACATGGAAGCAGCCTGTGGCTGGACTAGCCCCATTTTTGGTTGTGTAAGTGCAAGTAAACTTCACATTCTAGGAAACCACAGCAAGGCTGTGGGCAGGGTTTGGATATGTTCTGAACGGAGCTCTACTCAGAGCATCCCTCTCAAACTCTCTCGCTCTGCATTCTAATGGTTTGGCCCATAAAAGCAGGCTTACATTTGTGTAAGCTTTCATCTGAAGGAGCTTCAACATCAGACGCTTCTCATAAAGTAGATAGCAAGCAGTGCAACAGCAGCTCCTCTAGTCAGGAATGCTCCCACGTTCTTCTTGGCTCAGAAAAGGTCTTGTCCTCACTTGCCCTGTGAATACTCGTGCTTAAACATTTGCAGTTGTTCTGTTGAAGTGTCATTCCTAAGGAATTGCCAGTGGCCTCAACAACGTGCTACTTTTTAGGGAAGAGAGTAATGGTAACACTTTACTGAAGGGCAGTGTTCACAGGCCTACAGGACACCAACGTTAGCCGTTTATGACCACTGGAAAACATTTATTAACGCTTATTTCAATAGGCATCAATCATTAGGTTGCCAACTTTAATGTCAACTTTAATTTTTTTGCAGTACTTAAAGGGGAATTCCACCAATTTTTCAAAATCTCTGTGTAATTTGATTGTTGAGATGCAAATGAAGTCATTCAGAGTGGTTTGATGTGAAGTGGTTGGCTGTAGTAAAACTTACAGACTCAGAGTTCTTTACAGTGGTGGTGATAGGAACCAGGGGTCACCATGTCTACAACACAAGCCATTTAATTTACTATACACACCCAGCAGTGAAACCTACACAGGTCTTGAGTTTTTATATGGAATGTTGATGGTAAAATAGTTTTCTTTGGGGACTATTTTGCCTCACAACGTCCTGCATGTAACTCTCCACTACAATCGCATTACAAATAGATACATTTTAGTCCAAAGGCTTCTCAGAAATATTATAAAACAATGTCAGGTTTATACCATTTTGTATAAAAAGCCATTAAAATCGTCAGATGTCAGGTTCGAATCAACACAATAGTGAATATGTTGACAATGATAAAACACTGATAAATCTGAACCAATAAGTTTCTTTTGGAGACTATTCTGCCTTTAAACACCCTGCATGAATCCCATCTTGACAAAATGAGTTAGTTATCTTGTTATCTCGAGATAACAAAAGTTGCTTATCTTGAGAACACAAGACAATAAACTCGATATCTCAAGACAACAATCCAGAAAAATATAGCAACACTTCATGGGCTCTCTGAATTTTCTGGGTTGTTATCTTGAGATAACAAGTTAATTATCTTGTTATCTCAAGACGACAACATTGTTATCTTGAAATAACAAGATCGTTATCTTGTTATTTCCAAACAACAAAGTCGTTATCTTGAAATAATGAGTTAGTTATCTTGTTATCTCAAGATAACAGGTTTTTTTTTATCTTGTGGTCTCAAGATAACAAAATTATAACAAAGTTATCTTGCGGTAACAAGTTAATTATATTGTGATAACTGTTTTTGGTACACGAAACCACACAAATGTTAGTCAGGACTGGGGAAGTGAGGCCCAGAGTCCAACACACGATGATGATTTCCCTGCTCAAGCACAGCAACTAAACCTGGTATTTAACTGAGGAGTTGAATCAGATGTGTTTGAGTAGGAAAATCACAAGAAGTGTGCAGGAATCCAGCCCTCCAGTACTGCACGTCTCCTCTCATGGTATAACTGGACCTCAAATACAACATGAAGAGGTGTTGGGGAAACCGCAAACAAAGCCCATAGTGACCGGGACCCCTAAGACCTTAATTTGATCCCTCATACAGATACTAACACAGCTGTACACCCATGGCTCACAGAAAGATCCAGCGTCTTAACACCACCACCAGGTAGCTTCCATCGACACTCCACATACACAACTGACATCTATTTATCTCCCACTTATTTATTACGCAGCTCATCCACAGTGAAGGGATCATTTGCAACCTGCAACATGATATTTTCATGAGTAATTATAATATCTTTAATAAGGAGTCTAGCATGAACATGTAAGTCACTGTTAGATGCTAGTGGGTGTGGGGAGTGGCATGCCTTTAGAGCACATGTGTCAAGCTCCAGTCCTGGCAGGCCCAAACACTGCAGATTTCAGCATGCTACCTCATCAAACACTCCTGACTCAGCTCATCAACTAATTAGCAAGACCTCCATGAACTGAATTCAGCGAAGCTCCACAGCACTTTGGCCCGGAAGGTCCCCAGTTTGACATGCCTACTTTAGAGCGTCAACTTGAGACATAATAGCGAGTAAACAAGCCGATTACATTGTAAATTCTTTATGTATTAAAAATCATTTTCATATGGGCGTCCATAAGATCCTAGTTATACCACTTTAAACTCTAGATATCTATTTATACTCATTTCTTGTCACAAAATGAATATGAATAGCCATTTGATCAGTGAGATTTGGTCACCTTATTTTCAAACATAAGGCATTCTGGATACAAATTTTATTATAAATTAATTTTGAAAGCTATGCAGCTTTCTTGATTGTACCACTTCCAACAAACGTCTTGAAACCTATAAAATAGTAGCATCATATTAGAATTATTTTAGACAAAACTGATTTCCTACTAGTGAAAAGTGATCCCAAACTTTTAAAACAGTAATAGTACATAAACAAAATTGTCACTGATTGTAATCTGACTGCAAAATCAACTAGTTCAGACTCACCTCATTGGTATTACAGAATAAGAAACTGAATTAAAAAGTCATATTTTTGTACAAATTATTCTGCATTTTATTCCAAACAGCAATCAGGTCAGTGTTGAATCAGCTCGCATTTTATTAATGGTGCATGACTGCATGTCTTTGGTACGCAAGTGTCTCCATGACAGGCCAGCAAATATCCTCTATCAGTTTGATCTCATCAGAGGCCATGTTTTCTCTCCACATGTTGATTTTGGCAGGTGATATGTCCCCTTCATAAGCTAGATGATACAGATTTGTGGATGCTGCAAAAGTGAGCTGATTTATGGCAGCTGGTGCAATAGGTATGCCAAGAAATTCATGTATCCTCCCTGCAGTCTCCTCAGGGAAAAGCACAACATCCTCAAACTTCACCCTGAGATAGGTGTGAGGGGGCAGGTCCGTGCTTGCCCTGAGGCTGGCGGAGGTGTAGGCCAGCCAAAGATGAGCAAGCAGCAGCACGGGGTTTGCGTCTGGCTGACCACTGATTATTTGCAGAGGCTGAAATGCTGGGTCAAACCTAGTGCACCCCTGTCCTGCCTCCATGTTGCTCTGGTTCACAACGTTAAGCAAGTGCTTTTTAATGTTTATACGACTGTAAAGGCTCGGATTGCTGTTGTATAGCATGAGATAGATCCATGCCCTGGGGTCTCGCACTACTTGGACTGAGCGTAATGAACGCCCGATCACCTCGTGAATGAAGGGCAGTTTTAGGGACCAGCTCCCACTCCGGAGGTTCAGCACAGGGCAGGCATTCGGGTAGGTCACCAAGTGTTGCCGAAGCGCCTTAATATACTCCACATCCCGGTCTGCTGGTCTCCTCCTCATAGTTGCCCTAGCATCCGTCAAAAGCTTCCTACTTTTCTTGCTGGTTCCCTGAACACTGCTGACTTTACTCCCTGCTTCAAGGTTGCCTTTGTAGAGCTGAATGTTCTGTAGGTGCATCCTGATGCTGTGCATCATGGAATGGAACCATCCCTGAATGGCTAGGAACTTCCCATTCTGGGCATCTGCTCTGGACCACTCGCAAGCGTCCACCAAAGAGTCCAGCACAAAGTTGGTCTCAGGTACATGAAGGTACGGAGAAGGGATTCTGAGGTACACAAAGTCAGAGCTATTGTCGAAAAGGTGCTGAAGAATCTCTGCCCCAGAGCCAGGGAGAGACGTCATGACTATGAATGGGAGGGGATCTGGGGTGTCATCGGGTATTGTGGTTCTTGTGACTACCTCATCGGAAACAGAAAGATCCTGCCATGTGATGCCACACAAGACTTCCCCACAACTATGTGACATTACCAAAAGTTCCAGCACCCAGAAAAAAAGCACTGAAATAAGTATTAATCGGATTAGCTTACCGAAAGAAACATTGAACTTTCTCTTAATGGACAAAAATACAAAAGCAAAACACAGAATCCATAATGTGATGATGCTGAACACAAATCTAACATCAAAAGAAGACTCTCTTTTTTCTTGGCTGGGTAAAGTTTGGATTCCCTGACCAAAATGAATGATCCTGTGCTTGCTCTCTGCTTTTGCAAATCCTGCAAAGCCCAAGTAGCTGTGCCTGGCACCTATATCCTTGTAATTTGTGGCAATGGAGACAGTAGTCTCTGTGTCATTCAGAGTAACAGATACCCTAACTCCATTTTTGCCATTGTCAATGAACCTGCAGTCGGAAACTTTGACAAATGGGCCATGCATTAGGTAAACTACCCTGCTGACTGAGCTGTCCATGGAAAAGGTCACATTTATGAACTGTGTCCATCTCTTCTTGAACTCAGCGACCTGTTCCACTTCTTGTATCCTGGGAACCGGACTGGCTCCCTGACTGTCCAACCAGAACATCTTATAATGGGCATCCCACACATCCATCAGAGCTCCCCTGTACCTGTCTAAAGAAATGTGAGGCACATATCTGAGATCGATGTCGAGGTTGTGGAAAAAGGCACTGAATGAAGTCACCGGAGACTGCTCCTGCTTTTCCACATGATCTAACACCATCAAAGTCTGAGAGTTGAGCAGGACCAGAGCCCGGTACACACTCTTCAGCTTCATAGCTGATGAGTAGGCTGACACAGCTTCGCCACTAACAAACAGCGTGTCTTCGTGTGAAGATGCCGAGATGACCTCACCAGAGCTGTCTCCTTCTTCCTTTTCTCCCCATCGAAGCCATTTGGAACACTCCCCTAGCTGCCCCTCCCATGGTTTATTGCACTGGCTGGTGGGGGAGGGGGCGAACACCAACACGTTGTTAAGGTAACTGTATTTTGGCCCATACAAGGCATCAGCGACAAAGACCTGTCCATTTGGTGCAAAAGTGAAAGAGTTTTGATCAGGGTGTTCATGGCCTGGATTGAAGTTACTCCACCCTTCAACCCATGAATAGGGTTTCACGTGAACTATGTCATACACAGCCCGTCCACCTAATTTGCCTGATTTAAAAGACACAAACGTGTTGTCCTGGGCATAAGGTAACCCTGCTCCATATGTCACCACACCCCAGTTTGAAAAAACATGCATGTTTGCTTTCCCAAAATGAGGCGGAGGCTTGGGAGAAAGCTCTGCATCATACCAGATAAACTCGGTATGTAAAGTAGCCCAGCCCTGGGCTACAGATGCCACCATGGGCCCGTCTTTAGGCCGATGCTTTCTGATCTGTTGTGCAAGCCAGTTTCCGGAACCATTTCTGAGCACAAACGCATCCAGGAACACCAGCTGACTCTCTGGCCCGTAGAACCAGTTGTAGTTGGAGTCAGCAATGCCCACCGTTCTTTGAAAGCCCGGGAGCACAGTGGCATAGTAAAACATAAAGTGAGCTCTCAGCCAGTTATTCCTTCTGTTGTCAATGTCAAAATGACGTAAAGCTAAGAAAACATACTGAGTGATGGATTTGGCTGTGTAGCTGCCATACGCCACACCTTCATCTAGGGAACCATCCACGATATGGTTCAGGAGGAACATAGTCTTTTCCATGTAGTTCACTGCAATTTGCTTCCATATCATGCTTTCAGGGTCTTTATGCTCACCAGTCACAATCGCTCCAGTCAGGATGGCTAGTATGTTTGTGGTCTGGTGGTTCTGCAGGAATTGCCTGCCCCAACCTCTATGCTTGGACAGTTCACAGAGTTCCTCAGTGACCGCTCGGATCTTCTTCAGGTACCGAACCCTTCGCTGAGTGTCCAAATAGGTATAAATGAAGTCGTAAGCTGTGGCAAAGCCAGTGAGGGAGTGTGCCATTGGAACTTCATCGTGTGGAGCAGTGCTCACCATCCAGTCTGGATATTCCGACATACGATCCATGTATTTTATTAAAAACTGGGAAGCGGTAGTGTCCTCGGGTTTAAGAAGGCAGTACAGAGCAAGAGGTGGCAGGTTGTTGCCGTAAATCTCATTCCATTTCTTTCCAAAGTCTTCATGGCTCATTGGAGGCAGGTAGAGAGTTGGGTTCTCCAGCATGGTGATGACAGCATTTTGGATAATTCTGAAAATGTGGCCGTGCGTGCTGGATGCCTTCTTTGTCAGCTGCTTCACCTCTGTTAAATCAAAGTAGAGGTTGGGGTGAACGTATGATGGCATGTACTTTTCCTCCTGACGTTTGCCTTGTTCCATATTCTCCATGACTGGAGCATATTTGCTGGAGGTATTATGTAGGGCAGAAAAAGAAAATCCGAGGGTCACGAGACAGAGCAGAACCCCAGGCTTCACCATGCACTCAAGAGCCATGATCCAAAAAACAGATGTGGATTTTTTTCCTCCTCTTTGAGAAACTCCTTCTGATCAGCACGCAAAAAAGTGTAGATTCCTTTTTGCTGACTTGTGTTCTCTTAGGAGCATTTTCTCTTGCTAGGTAAACCACTGAAGTAGAGTCCAACCACAATTTACTTCTTTTGTTTTTCTTCTTCAATCATTCATGTAGAATAAGTGGAGTTCTTGATAAAAGTCCTAAGTTATGTGATCAAAAGTGGTCCTTTTTTTGCAACATGTCCAGACTGTAGACTTTTTGATAAAGTCCTTTAAAAATTTAGTATAAAAAATGAAAAAATAAGATGAAACACCAAAACAAAACAGGTCTTGGCACACCACTAAAGTATAGTCCAGCAATAAATGTACTTTTCTACTTTTCTTTTTCACTTAGTTATGTAGAAAAATGTGTAGAGTTCCTGATAAAAGTCCTTAAAAATTATTAAGAATAAAGAAATAAAAATTTGGGATTAAATACGTAACAAAACAACTTAAAAAAAAGTGGTCAAAAGGTGACAACAACTTATTGCACCATATGTTCCAACAATGTGCTTCTCTTCATTTTCTTTTTGCAACATGTCAAGTTTGTAGAGTTTTTGATAAAAGTCCTGTAAAAAATTACAATAAAGATTAAAAATAAGATCAAAAAGGGTCTTGGCACATCACCAAAATACAGTCCAACAACAATTTACTCTACTTTTTATACTGTTGTGTAGAGTTTGTGATAAAGGTCCATAAAAAATTTAATAAAGGATAAAAAATAGTTTGGTGATAACAAAATGACTTAAAATATTAAATTAAATAGCTTAATTAACTAATAATAATAATAATAATAATAATAATAATAAATAATAATAATGAAGTGGTCAAAAGGTATCTAGGCAGACAATAACATATTGAAATTTATACTCCAACACCAACTTACTTCTCTTCATTTTCTTTTTTGCAACATGTCAAGTATGTAGAGTTCTTGATAAAAGCCCTATAAAAATAGAATAAAGAATAAAAAATAAAATCAATAATAACAAATAGGTTCTTAACACACCTCCAAAATATAGTCCTACAACAACTTACTCTACTTTTTCATATCGGTATGTAAAGTTTGTGATAAAAGTCCTTTACATTTTTTAAGAACAAAGGATAAAAAAAAAAAATATTTGTAATTAAACACGTATCAAAACGACTTCTCGATTAAACAGATACACTACAAAAAAGGGGTCTAGGCAGACAACAACTTATTGCAAAGTATATTCCAACAACAACTTCCTTCTCTTCATTTTCTTTTTTCCAACATGTCAGGTTTATAGAGTTTATAGAGGTTTATAGGTTTATAAAGTTTCTACTTTATAAACCTATAAACCTTCTACTAAAGTTTCTACTTTATAAACCTATAAACCTTCTACTAAAGTTTCTACTTTTTTATACTGTGGCGTCAAGTTCCTGATAAAAGTCCTTTCAAAATATTAATAAAGGACAAAAAAAAAAGTTTTGTGATCAAACATGTAACAAAACAGGTCTTGACACACCACTAAAGTTTAATCCAACAACAGTTCACTCTACTTTTTCATACTGCTGGATAGTGTTCCTTTAAAAACAGCTTTACTATTACTAAAAGTGGTCAAAAGTGGCCAAAAGAGGTCTAGGCAGACCACTCAAGACTCCAAGTCCCACAAGCAAATTAAAAGCCACATCTGAGTGAACTGCTGAATCACACACATTTGGAGATAAACACGTACATGATGAACCAAGAGGGAGGAAAAAGTTCCTACTTGTGTTGAATCAGCGGTAACTGGACGAGTCCCTCAGCCTGGTCTGTGGTTCAACTCGCCTGCATCCACAGATCCAGTGAAATCAGTTCTCCTGACCAAGTCGCCTGAATGATGCGTCCAACGCTGGAGTCCACTTTTAATACTCATCCTTGTTCCTTGTCTTTAAGTTTTGCATTACCGTTCACGTCTGTGTTGCACGTGTGGTCACGCAGATACCGAGGCGAGATAATCCACGTTAATCCGGTCTGTTGTTGAGGAGCAGTTTACTCACAGCGCTGTGCGACGCGATTAGTTTATATAACCCCCCCGGAGAACGAGCCTGGATTCAAACCATCACAGCGGCGAGAGGGAGAGGAGCTCCGGCTGGGCGCTGTGTGGGAGCTTTTAGGCCCCATAAATCACGGCGGGGTGCGGAATTTGACGTGCAAAGCTCTGAAATGTAGCAGACACGTTTGCTATTAGTCACTTCCCACTTCTCAAACAGCCCGCAGATATTAATTCTTACCCACATCTGCCGCTAGATGGCGCACTGCTACTTTGGAGCGCGGTGCACAGAAAACCTGATGCTTTCAAAAAATGCATCGATTTTGTTTGTAGAACTTAAAAGATTTCATCTCGATGCTGTTTTCAGTGTGTTTATCTCTTCATGCTACACTAAGATGTTAATCTGAAGGGTGATGCGGTTTGAGTTGAGGGTGAGGTTTTCTCTAATAATCATGCCAGGATGCAGTGCTGAATATGCGACATGCATTATTGAAATAATAGTGTTTGACTATGTAAAGCAGAGTTAAAGGGGAATAAAAAAAAAAATTCTGAATGATTCAGTCCTTGAGATGTAAACTGAGTCATTCCGAGAGGTTTGATGTGAAATGGTTCATTGTAGAGAGACTCACAGACACAGTGGTGGTGATAGGAACCAGGGGACACCATGTCTACAACACAAATATAGCCATTTTATTTACTATCTAAAACCAGCAGTGAACCTACACGAGTCTTCTGAGCTTTATACGTGATGCTGATGATGGTAAAATAGTCATGAATCTGAAAAATTACGTTTTCTTTGTGAACTATTTTGCCTTGCAGCACCCAGCTTGTATCCCTCCACCACGAATGGATTCCAATACATTTTACGGCAAAACTTAATCACAAAACTATCATAAAGGAATGTCAGACATCAGGCTGTACATATCTAACCATTTCATGTAGTAACTTTCTGTGAGGGAGCTTTTAGAGGTGGACGTCTGGTTCCTATCACCACCACTGTAAACAGCTCTGACTCAGGAAGCTTCTCTAAAATGTAGGTGTATTTCACATCAGATCACTCTGGATGACTTTGTTTACATCTCAACCATTTAATTATGTTGTATTTTTGAAAAATTGGTGGAGTTCCCCTTTAAGTACATGCATAGCAATACTTAAAAGGGGAATTCCACCCACTTTTCTAAATTTCCCCCAAATTAAATCAGCTGGATATGAACATAATTCAGAGTCGTTTGATTTGAATCGCTCCATTCTAGAGAAACTTGCTGAGTCCGAATTGTTCACCACAGCGGTGATGGGAAACAGACGTCCAAATCTTTTTAAAATACCAAAAATGAGTTCAATTTATGTAGTCATACCTAAGGACACTTTACATTCAGGTGGCAGAGGCCGACACAGACATTAGGACATATATAACTGGAGAAATAGAAACAAAGACAATAATGTAACATTAGATGAAAACAAACAGGTTAATTACATGCTGGGGGTTTCTTTAGTAAAGGGAATGGTTCTATTTAGAACCATGATTTCTATATAGAATCATTTCATCTTTAAATGATTCTTTGCATGGTGAACTCGTTCTTCAGATTGATGAAGAATATGTTATGTATGTTTCTACCTACTGAAAAAATGATGGTTCTTCAAAGGTTCTTTAGTAAAGAAACTGGTTCTATATAGAACCATGAACACTCAAAGAACCCTTTGCATGATTACAGGTTGCTTTGCATCATAAGAGCGTTCTTCAGATTGGTTGTGTGGAATATGGTCCTATATAACACTAAAAAAGGCTCCTTCTATTGTTACATGCTTGACATTGTTTTAATAAAAGAACCCTTTTTGGTGCCCTACAGAACCCTTTTGAAAAGGGTTCTATATAGAATCATACGCTACACATTCTCTATTAATCTGAAGAACGATTTCACCATGCTAAGAACCATTTAAGCATGAAATGATTCTACATAGAACTCATGGTTATATATAGAACTGTAGCCTTTTCTAAAGAATCGTTTTTACCACCATCAAGTTAGAAGACACATGTAGGTTCACTGGTCATTTTGGATAGGGAATAAGATTTATAAGACATCTAGATTTGTGTTGTAGACATTGTGACTCCTTTGTAGACACTGCGACTCCTGGTTTCTACATGACTTCGTTTACATCTCAGCGATTTAATTATGCAGGAAATTTGAAAAATTGGTGGTATTTCCCTTTAATATCATAAGACCTGTGCTCATGCACTGATGATTACTTGGCTTGTGCAACAGCCTCAGAAGGTGCAGTTTTATTCAAATGATCTCATTTATGCAGTGATGTTTATTCAGATGTCTATGTCAACTGTCTGACACCTATTATTAGTCATAGCCAAACGAGAGGCCTGTGGGCTGTAGATGCTGCAGGAGGTTATATTATACAGGCTTTTCATTACACTGACTGAATTTACATTAACAGTCTTGTGCTTTTATACTGAAAACATTACTCAACTAATTCATAAATTGCTGCTGTTTCTTCTGGTTGATGACAATACTTGGCAACTGTGAAATTTGAAATATTCCAATGGCAATACATCAAAGTATAAGAAGAAGAGTACATATGGAACCAGTAGACTATAATCAGTTCCAGCAGGGAATTTCGACTGGGCAGAAAACACTGTGCTTTTCATAGTACTTTTTTACTTGGAAAAGTCAGGATGGTGTTCTCAACTCAGCAAATGATGTTAAATCAAAACAGCTGCACAGTCTAAAGTACCACTTTTTATATGAGATTTGCTTTAAATCAGTCAACATACAGACATAGTTCAATCTATAAAGCTCACTACTTGATTAAAACTTAATGTTTTCCTTATTTATTTATTTTTATACAACAGTTAGTTCCGGCCACGCAGGCTGATTGGTTGAGAGGCGTTCTAGCCGTGCTGTTATTTCGCCATAACATCACGGGTTTTTCACAAACACTGTTTCACTCCGCTGAGACGCCGTTGCTAAGCAACGACTTTGACAGCTGTAGGAGACGCTCAAGCCATTTGAACAGTTTTACTTCTTACTTTGCCACAAGCAGAAAATGGACACTTTTAAGATCACATTTGACCGACAGCCGATTTGGTCAGACTCTGAAGATGAGGCTACACTAAATTCCCAAACTGTCATCACCACTGAGCAGCTTTTCAGTCAGCAGCTGTGACACATAAACAACCTGGAACCTGGAATCAGCCAGAAATGAACCCAATACCATTCGTCAAACGTGTAGTCTGATCTTCAGAGTCTGACCAAATCAGACTGAGCCATAAAACTGCTGCAATAAAAAAGCAAAAAAGCTGCTCAGTGGTGATGACAGTTTGGGAGTTTAGTGTAAGGATCTGGAGAACGAACTGCCAGCTATGCAGCGAGTGGGTGGGGCTCGTTACTGTGACGTAGCAACAAGCTGCTCGTTAAGGAACTATAATTTGGTGGAAGGAACTGCGAACATTAAAACATATTAAACGCCGCGTTCACGGCCCGGTTTATTAATTTATTACTTGATTTATTTAACTGTTGTATAAAAGCAATAGAACACTCGAGGAGTGTGTTATCGCCAATAACATCATGGCTGTGATGATCTACTGCGACCAAATCACAACAGCTGTGATGTTATTTCGCGATAACACACTCCCTCTTGGGTTCTATTGGTTAAATGAATATACAAACAATGATGCATGGTTGAATAACTACAAATAGACTTAAATAATTTCATTGGTTTTAAATTGATTTTTAGTATTATTTTCCCATTTAAGCGGCCAAATTCTGAATAATGCCACACGGTTAGATTTCAAAATTAGTGGTGCATATTTATGAATACAATACAGTAAATATGGAATACATATGTATACAAAAATTAAGTACTTGTATTCAGTCCAAGCTGCACTTTGTAAAGACAGTATTCAGAATACAGTTACTTTTTACATTTTTAGAAAAATACTTTTAGAATACGTATCCACCAAAAATCATCGATGCTTGTTTATTATTTTAAAACAGTACATAGCATGTAGCAAACATGCTCATTAGACAAACCCTAAAGAGAACCTTATTTATGGCTTCTTAACAAACACTGAAATTCCTGCTAAAGCCTGAGTAGACTGATAAATCAATGTGATGATCCATTATTAATCTGTGTTACTGAGCTCTGCTAAAGCCTGAGTAGACTGATAAATCAATGTGATCAGTTATTAATCTCAGTGTTACTGAGCTCTGCTAAAGCCTGAGTAGACTGATAAATCAATGTGATGAAATGAGAACCTGCAGCCACACCAGCTGTTTTTGGACACTTTGTTTGTAGATGTCAACAACTGAATTATGCAGAACTTTTTGAAAAATCTATGATGTGTGTTTTCATTTCAAGACAACAAGGCAACAAAATGCAGTATTATTTATTCTTAGTTTACAGAATGGTAACAATGAGCCACTTGTGGTCACATTAAAGGAAAAGTTCAGTCAAAAAAGCGAACCTTGCTAACAGTGAATACAATGATATCATGCTAATCGGTGGCTACTTGCCTCCATTCACTGTTAGCCATGTAAGCATGTGTAGCCTTAAAGCTGTTCCTTTAATCCTCTTTCTTGGCTTCATTGGACTTCTCTGCCGTCCCTTTCCTTTGAGAGGCTGCAGGACGGCTCCCCGTCGCCAACAAAGCGCCTTCATCTGCTTTATCCTCGTCCACCGGTACCGCAGTGCACACCCCCCAAACGATCATGACTACCAGACCCACGGGCAGTGAGAGGAGGAAGCAGGTGACGAAGGGCGCGGACGTGAAACTCGTCTGAGCGGGAGAGAAATTAGCATTTGTCATTTGGATGTCATGGAAACAGTTTGTAAACCAGGACAACAACGCCCTGCATGTTTGCCAATATTTGTTCAGGATGTTTGCACCTTTTTGGAAAAACACACAGAATTAATCTGATGTGACACCTTCGGTACTAATAACGTCTCACCTTTACCGCAGACATGGCGCGATAATAAAGTCTTTTCATACGTCGCAGAAATCCATTCCCTCCGAGTAACTGAAAGAAACATAGTGAGATGAGGGCTCAGTCATATTCACAAAGCCCAGAGATGCAAAACCAGTCAAAAGTTTAGATACACCTACTCACGAAGTCTTCTTGTTACTGTTTTCCACAATATAAGCACTCTTGGCCTCCAAATTATGAAATAACACATATCGAATCATATTTGCCCAAGAGACAAATATTCCGAGAGCTAGTTTGGCTGCTGAAACCTACCGGTAACAATAGCGGGTTCTTTTAGAAACAATATACAACAGGTTTTCCATCATGAAGTAGAACCAATTACCCCTGCAAAGAACCATTAATGCATTGCAATGGTGCTGAGTTTGGTTCCTCACTCTCAGCAATAAGCGTTCTTTAATATAGAACTGAAAAAAGGTTCTTTAGGTGGCTCAATTCGACTCGACTCTACTCGCTTTTTTGGGTTTTCCAGTAGGCAAAAGTTGGTCCTTGGTACTTTTTAGGTACCAGGTGACATAAAACCTCTTCAGACCACTGATTGGTCAGAGAGAATCATTAAACGCATATGCTAACGTTAGCTACCAGGTTAGCATAGCCACTTGCATCGCCTTTTTGAGCTACCAGAATCACCTCGTCATCTGACCTTTGATGTTGTTCTTCCCTAAGCTCCCTTTTTTGTCAGCAGCCTTTTGTCTTGCCACCTTGAGCCTCTTCTGAACAAATTTGGTCCCCTTCACGCCTCGTTTTGTTTGGCGTCGCTATGATGACCAACTACACTGAGGGGGTACTACATCTGCAGTGGAAAATGAAGAAGCTGGTACCAAAAGCGAGTCGAGTTGAGCCGGTACTATGCAGTGGAAAAGCAGCTTTTGGCTCATAACAGCACTTTATGGTGCTGTATGGAATCATATTTTTAAAGGTTTGTTTAATATAGATAAAAAAAAATATATATATATATATATATATATATATATATATGTATATATATATATATATATATATATATATATATATATATATATATATATATATATATATATAAGGCTCTCCATCATGGAGAAGAACCATTAAAAAATTGCAATTCAGACATTAAGATGTGAACAGTTATTCAGAGTGGTTTGATTGTTTTCTACTTCACTGTAGAGAAACTTACAGACTCAGATTTTCTTTACAGTAGTAGTGATAGGAACCTGGGGTCACACTGACTACAACACACCAGCATAAATGGATTTCATAAAATATGTCTTAGGCCAAAACTTTGATTTAAAACAAGGTGTCAGTCATCAGGCAGCATATTTAAAACCAATTTTTATGTACTAATTGTCTGCGATGGAGCTGGAGTGGTTTCCCCAATAAACTACTGTGAACAATTCTGACTCGGTTAAGTTTCTCTAGAATGGAGCATTTCACAACAAACCACTCTGAATGACTTTATTTACATCCTAACCATTTTATTATGTATATATTTTGAAAAATCAGTGATACTCAAAGCATACTTTCGATAAGGTGGATCCAAACTTTTGGGTGGATAAAATACTGCATGAAAATAAATGAATCAAACCTTTGATCTCCCATTCAGGATGCTATTGAGGAACTGAAGCAGCTCTTCCATGGTCTCAACCTTCTGCTCTGGTAGATAATATCCATCAACGGTCATGTTCATCACGATGAGAGATGGCATTGCCAACTCACTGGTGAAAAGAAGACATGAGTCAGTTTAGCAAATATGCTGTAAACCAGGTGTGTAAAGTAGCCTAAACTCAAATAAAAGTCAGAGTTAAAAAGTATCAGTCTAAAAACTCCTATTCTTAGTACATGCAGCATAGGAACAGGATTTCTGGAGTACTATTCTACTTATTTTGAGATACTTTTGGTCTAAGCACCAAAGTGAGAGCTGAACCAACAGAACAGAATGAAAAAAGGAAACTAAATATGAAGGAATAAAGTAGAACTCAATTAAAAGTAGACTCCGTTCCTCACAACTATATTTGTGTGAAAGTTATTATAATAAATACTCAGATAATTACCCATCAGAATTGAACGTAAGTAAGTCTAACTGTGTAAATAGAACTATTTACTACCCACTAAAAACAAAACCACTATGACACAACTAAAACTAACAACTAATCCAGTAATAAAATTTGCTGCTCATTTATGGTGACACTAGAGAAGCTTCCAGAGAAGCTTCCAGAGAAGCGCTATCAATCTGCTATTTGTTTTTTGGTTTAGCCTTACGCAGTTCTCAGTGCTCACCCCATTATGAAGCCATTGATGTAGTCATTTCCATGCATGTATCCAAACTGAAACTTCCTGTAAACATGTTAACATAAACATGGAAAAATGTAACCCAGCCATCACTTTGATACACTTGTGAAAGCAATATTATGACACACTTTTTAAAAATAAAGAGGCCAATATTGTTTCTTTGAAGAACCAGCCTATGAGAGTTGGTGTTTCTTACTGAGTCACTGACTGACTGGTCCCTGTCATCCACTATTGAAACATAAGCATCGCTTATGACAAAGACTAAGTAGTGGCACACACCATTAAATGTCATTCTCATGGCCTCCCAAAAATACCGTATAAGGCTAACAAATAAATCACAGAAGAACGCAGAAACGCATTCATTAAAACACATCATGGGTTTTACAATAACTAATAAAGAATAAATAAACGCAGTGGTGCGTAACTGTATTTGAGTTCATTTGACTTCAGTTGGAAATATTCCTTCATGTGAGCAGCCTTATTTTGCTGTTTTTACTGTTCCAGATGAGGATAAAGTCACTGTTACATGACCAGTAAGTGCACCAGAATGTAAACTGGAATACTCCTTTGATATGTTAGTTGTTAATTTTATAATTTCATTTGTAAAAAATTTATTAAGTTAACATTAGCTAGACCTAAAGCTTTAATATTAGTACTTTGCAGAATATTCTGCTCTATTTTCATCATTATTGTTATTATTATTAGTAGTAATAGTAGTAGTAGTAGTAGTAGTAGTAGTACTGCTACTACTACTGCCAATAGTAATAGTAGTAATTAGTGGTAGTATTACTACTAGCAGTGGCACAATAGAAAAATTTTCGGCTGCATGATACTGACATAAAATGCGATGTTCAATTAAACTGTCAGATATCATGATAATATGAGAAGCAATAAATTACCATTACTAAAATAATGTGTACTGCAAGTGCAGAAGTGCAAAATACAAAATTACAAAAGTACCATTTATATATATATATATATATATATATATATATATATATATATATATATATATATATATATATATATATATATATATGGGTTTTTTTATTATTTTTTTATTATTTATTATTATTATTATTATTTATTATTATTATTATTTTTTATTAGTTGGTCCAGGACTCTTATTATGATGTGGGCCTTAAGGTAGCGAGCTTCAGAACCCCAGCTGGCTAGCAGAAAATCAGTAGAGCCTGAGCTAGCCTGTGTGCTGCATGTTTTCCCCTTTGCTGCACTGTTTTGAGTTGAATTTCCATTAAAGCTGAGTTATGGGACATTTTAAGGTCTCTGATTGTGTACTTTGTAGTTACGATTTAGCCAAATGGTTAAGTTATTTGTCTCCCGTATGGGAGAGCAGGTTCAGTCCCAGCGCAGAAAGGCAGGCTTGTAACGGTTTGTGCAGGTAAGGTAATGACCTCTCTCTGGTGCTGCGTGTATGAGGTCATTAAAGCTGTTCCGTCATTGCTGCTCTAACGATGTGTTTATCGCGGAAACTCATATCGTGATAACGATAAAAATATAATGTATCGTGCAGCCCTAGAAAATCTGTATATTAACAAAAATGGCTGATAACATTTGGACCTTCACTACAGGCAGGTAGACTAATACATAAATAAGCCTCTCATTACATAAAGGTTTCGCTTTTCTATCCTGTGCCATAGACACTATCATGACAAATGCTATGCAGCCACTACCAGTCCAGCAAAACTAGTCTTGCCTAATAAGTGCATAGTGAAGAACCTTTTATTTAAAGTTTAAAGACCTCAACCTAATGTAATTGTCTACAAAGTGCACCTACTTGGTATATAGACCTGATAAAATAGGTAATGAGTGTGGATACAAGATAGGTGTACTTAAAGAAGTGGCAGGTCAGTGTACATCACTGACTGTGTGTATATAATCCGTAGCCTGACCAATGCACTTCAGTTCACTGTTAACAGCAACTCTATTTCTTTACAGAAAGAGTCACTGTGAAACATGTTTCCACAGAATAGCTTTCTTTATGTCATCCATTGTTTCTACTCACGTGTTGTAATGGTCTCTGTATTCTGTTGCCACTTTTTCCATGAGTGCCTTGTAGCTATAATGAGAGCAATTAAGACAATATGAGTGACTGGCACTGTACACTATGAAACGTTTTATAGCAAAACACACCAAGTTAAGTCACATAGCTTTGAAAGACTGGTCTCTCACCGAATACTGTCCGTTGTTGGATTCTTCTCATCCACTATAGCCAAAGCTACGAGTTTAGCTGTAGAAAATATAAGACATACAATTATGTATTATTCATGACATTTAACTGTTTACTGCTATTGCTGTTTGTTCACAAGACCACATTCATATCCAATAAATCATGAAGTTAATAGTCATAACCATTTGGGTAACGCTTCAACCAACAACCAACATAAAATTATCCAATCGGGATTTTTTCGCTGTGGTGTGTGGATAGATATAATCAGGGTAGCTCTCCCACTGGTTAGGCCTTCAGAAGCTGAACATAAGGCTTAACATGTAAGATACACTACCTACATAATTAGTAACTGGTGGTGGAATCTTGTTTTGATTTACAATGGGGGCAGGGGTTTGGGGTTGGTGAGGGGGTCTTTAGGAGAAACCTAGCACTTTAGGGCCATCTGGAACTTCTAAATACACCAACAGGCCATTTTATCAGTTCCACATCAGTCCATCTGTTTCTCTGCATACTTTGTTAGCCCCCTTTTACCCTGTTCTTCAGTGGTCAGGACTCCCACAGGACCACCACAGAGCAGGTACTATTTGGGTGGTGGATCATTCTCAGCACTGCAGCGAAACTGATGTAGTGTTTGTGTGTTAGTGTGTGGTGCGCTGGTACAAGTGGATCAGACAGCAGTTCTGTGCAAACTGTGTTGCAACAGATAAGCTACTGCCTCTGACTTTACATCTACAATGTGGACCAACAAGGTAGAAATGTCTAATAGAGTGGACAGTAAGTGGACACAGTGTTTACTCTCAAGCAGCCCTGCTGTGTCTGATCCACTCATACCAGTGCAACACACACTAACATGCTACCACCACAAGGGAGCTAACAAAGCATGCCAATAAACAGATAGACTGCAGTGCAGCCTGTAACTGTAGAACTACAAAGTGCACCTATATGATAAGTGGAGCTGATAAAATGGACACAGAATGTAGGTAGAAGATAGGTATACTTAAAGGGGAATTCCACCAATTTTTAAAAAATTCTCCATAATTCAGTGGTTGAGATATAAACAAAGTCATTCAGAGTGGTTTATTGTATAGAAGCTTACAGACTCTGATTTCTTTACAGTGGTGGTGATGGGAACCAGGGATCTGACTGATTTTGTTGACACGTTTTATTTTTATTTTAATTATGCAGATTTTTTTAACAAATCAATGAAGTTCCCCTTTAATGAAGTGGCTGGTCAATGTACATCATTGACTGTGTGTATATGAGCCATAGCTTGACCAGTGCACTTCAGTCAGTTGTTAATAATCGCAGCCCTATTTCAGGGCTCTGTGACACAGTCAGTGTAAAACTGCTACAAGATAAAATAAATACATAAATCATGGAATGCATTTTACAAGATTATGTCCTTAAAACAATGTCAACAATATGCAATGTTCATAAAAATCACAATTAACTTAGCATTAACATAAAAACAGTTCGATGTTTTGCCTCATTTTTGAGCTGAAGGCCCAGCTCTAACAGTCTGAGTTCACCACTGTGTAATAGTAATGTTATAGTGTCACATTAAAGTGTAATAGTAATATTATTACTTGTTTCTCCCATCTGGTAGAGAGTGAAGCTGTCCATCTGGAAATAACAGTGGAAGCGTTCTCGGCCCACCCAGTCCGAAAGATTGCCATCGCGCTCCTCTGAATGAAAGAGACAAGAAATAAAAATGTGTGCTTAGAAGATACAAATTTACACCTGGTTTAAAAAATACTTCAACCATAAAGGCAAATATTGTTAACACTGAATTGTAGATTTAGTTTGATCAAATTTTCAAAATGCAAACAAGTTTTTTATTCACGTCTATCAATGTCGCAGTAAGGAGCGAGTGAAATGCTGCTTTAAGCAAACATTCCTCGAAGGCATTCGTCTAAATCCGCCAACCACACAAGGAAATTTGTTTTTTTCTCATGAGAAGCAGGATATTTTCATTAAGTCAATTGACAAAGAGGGCAGACGGTGGCTATATACAGACACAACCTTCAGGAAACTCTTCAGAGCAGAACCCTGACGTTTACTCCAACCACAGAGAGCTGTTTAACGTCTTCAGTGAGCATCCAAATGCTGCGATGACCGGTCAGCCGAACGGAACTTTCGCCCACTCTGCATTCTCACACTGCATTCTCAAATGATGTGGAAGAAATGTTTATATAGCTAAAGGTAAGCAGGCACAATTTTGTACACATTACTTGTACTTCTCAAAGGCATTGACAACTACATTCAGAGTAACTCTTAAAGTCCTGACCTAAAACTGGAAAGTAATTCTTTGACAGTCTCTTTAAAGGTTAAATGTTAGAACTGTAAACACTTGTAAAGTCATATACGCCAAACTGGTTCTTCAGTTTTGTTGAAGTATGGGTCCGACTACTCTGTTCTAGGACATGTTTAGTTAGCCATGTCTGAAGTTGCACTGGAGCTGCAGAGCTAACTAACAAGTAATGGAAACTTAAGCTTCATTAGCATGGTGCTAACTGCAAGCCTAAATCACCTGAATCGCACTCACATCCACCTCAAACCACAAAACAAGTTGTTACTGCTGACACTGTATGACATCTAGACGAAAATATGCTGCTGAGGTAAAAACAGTACTAGCAGCAAACCAGCTAACCAGAAGCCTGAATTTGTTTGTATTTTTGTCCGTTTTTATAGCTAACAGTGTCATACGGTGTCAGAAACGACATAAGCAAGTCTATAAGAGATCACAGCTCATCACAGTTTGAGGGAAGTCTGATAGGCATGCAGTTAGCATGATGCTAATAATGACCCTGCTGAAACCATAGATATACATCCCGTGTTGGGTCCACCCAGGCACGTCAACAGCACCGCCATTTTAGGGAGGTCAATATCGCTGCTGGACTGCATTCAGTACCATTACAGAGCGGCAGTTTAAGAAAGACACTGTCCAAAATTACACTATTTCAGGAATATCACACTCAGAAAGTGGGATATGATTATATAACGGAGGGAACGCAGTGATCCACGCTCATGTTAGTGTGATGCGTATTGTCTGTGTGATGTTTATGTGTAGATATGGCCGTGTGGTTGGTGAGGCAGAGAGAACCTGTTGATGTGTTTTTCCTCTGGTTTTCTATGAAGGTTATTTCACTTAATAGTCTATTCAGGGGATCTTAACTTCATGTAGTAGTTATTTATTTACAATGATGGTTAAAGCTTGTAGTAATATCATTCCTTAATCCGTGTAGATATTCATAACAGATTAGCGTTAGCACCTTCTTACACGAAGCTGAAGTTGGCTTCTTATTTGCCAGCTTCTTGTTCGAATTTTCCCGTTCCACCTTAAATACTGCATCAACCAGCTTCTTCTTTGAATTTTCCCTTTCTACCTTAAATGGTGCAGCTTCAGGTACCAGAAAGTGACTGCTGCGCCATTTAAGGTGGAACGGGAAAACTCAAAAAAGAAGCTGGCGAATAGGAAGCCAACTTTAGCTTCGTCCTTCTGTGTATAAAGATTAGAAGTGATTCACACATTGATGGACTTGCTGATTGTGTTTCTACCAGAGCGCTAAACTCACGTCAGGTGCAGACTGAATACTTTCCTGCTGGTCCAGAGGGCCAATTAGCACGATCAGTGATTAAAGTAATAAAAGCTACTGAGAGCAGTCAGGGCTAGATTAATGTCTGAGGATTGTAACAAAACAGATTTGGTGAAAATCGGTTGAGTAACAAGGAAGTTGTGCTGAATCCTAACAAGGAAGTTGTGCTTTAATCCTGAGACTCATCGTCTCTCAATACAAGTGAATTTGTTCACAAGCGGATCTTGACCTCTCCAACATGGCGGATGCTCAGACGTATCGCCTCACATAGAGAATAACAGGCAATGCGGCATCTAGATATGTATATCTATGGCTGAAACACACAGCCTAGACAGCTTAGCATGAATCCCATGCAGTTCTATGCTGGTTTATGCTAGTCTGGTGCTGGTTTAGCTTGTCACCCAGCACGGTGACCAAAACACAATATACACTGGTTTTCCTAGCAGGTGGAATATAAGCTACTTGTTAGCTATGTTAGCAATGTAGCTCCTGTGCAATATTTTGTAATGTGTTTTTTAATAGGATGATACTACAAAGTAAACGCTCCTTATGGTTTTCCAGGTGCCCAGTGGCTGATTCTAAATGCATCTGATGGTTTCCTAATGGGATCTGAAGGTGAAAACTAATGGTCGCTTTTGGAAACCATTAAGCCAATTTCCCTTAGAAGGCAAAACTGACTTGCTCGGGAGTGCCCTCTAGTGTTTGAGAAACCCGGAAGACATTACAGAGTGGGAATTCTCCTCTCTACAAGTTCTCTGGTAGCACCGCCAAGGCAGTGGTGGGTTAGAGCAGTAGTTCGTGCCCTGCTATTACAGTATATTTTGAATTTAGAGACACAATGGCGCAGTTGAACAATGAAGAAAAAATACAAAATGCTGCTAATGATTTGAACTAACGAAGTCCTCTTAAAACTGGCCTCGGGGCTCCCGAGTGGCGCAACCGTCTAAGCGTTGGCCCTATCATCAGGAGATCGCGAGTTCGATCCCTGGTGATGCTACAGCCATCCGTAGCCGGGAGTCCAAGAGAGCACAATTGGCCTCGCTCTCTCTGGGTGGGTAGGATGGCCCCTCCTTCTCCCCCCATCACTCAGCGCGATGCTAGTCAGCGCAGGCGTCTGTTAGCTGACGTAACAGATCTGGCGGTTGGCGCTTTCCTCCGAGCGCGTTCGGCTGTCCAGTGACGTTGCGTGAGCGGCAGTTCGAAAAGAAGTGGTGGTTGGCTTCACAGGTCTCGGAGGAAGCCTGTGTTAGCCTTCACCCTCCTAGCGTTGATAGCATCGTGTGATTGGGGGAGTCCTAACTAGCGGGTGGAATTGGAGACGACTAAATTGGGGAGAAAAATCGGGTAAAAATAAAAAAAAATAGTAACTGGCCTCGCGACACCCCTGGTTATTACAGGAAATATCTTAAGATTAGTTGATTTCACAATAAAATGATAAATACAGTATTTCACTGTGGGAAATAGAACAATGGCAAATATTGTAAAATCAAGGTAATTGACAGTGTAACATTGACATATGCCAATGTTATATAGCAAGGTTTAAGTAAAGTGTCACGGTGTAAATGGTGTAAATTTTATTTATTAAACTATTCCTTTCATAAACAATACATATGCTGAGAAAATACAAAAAAATGCCTACATTAAGGCCACGTTTATATGCGTCCTATATCTGTATGTTGTCCATACATTTAAAAGCTAGTGATATCAGTGTGTTCTGATCTAGCTGTCATGAGGTAATCGAGTAAGCGTTGTGGTCCGATCTGCATATGTAAACAAAACGCTTGGCGTTCACGTGCGCTCCCACAACTTTCAACATTGTTCCTACCTGTCTTGCTGGACAAGTTATTTTAAGGTGTCTGATGTGTATTCAAATGTCGTCTATGGAACACAAAGGTTGAGAAAATATTTGCTGCCCGTGAAAGTCAGTACACTGATCTCCTCTCACAGCTTTCTGACCCATTTTTTTTTTTGGTGCTTCTGTTGAGGCTGCTAACAATACACTTGGGCCGATAACCGATTTCAAATATCATGATAATGTATATATCACTGCTGTCGGGAACAAAACCTCACATCTCCATTTTTGTCATTTTTCGTTTTTTGACATAATGTGAAAATGCCTGTGGCCTTTTACATCGTGTGTAAATTTCATGATAAACGGACCAAAAGAAATGACCCAAAATGACGTGAATAGATGTCTGGTTCCATTGACTTACATTAAAAGTAAAGTATGTTTTTTCTTTCTCCTGTAAAGTTGCTATTTTGGAGATATGAGGTTTTGATCCGACAGCAGCGATATACACATGGAGAGATTCTAACATAGATTTTCAGTCAAAGAATGCAGGGATGCACGTAAACGAATTGGTCCTTGAGAAAATGGATGAGCCTGTTCAGACGAACATCCTGGTTTTGCAGTATGTTGCAAACTGACGCGGAGAACCGCTAGATTTCAGCAGTGTTTGGTGTCTGTTTAGTTAAATTATGGAATAATATTAGATGCTAGCCTAGTTGGTGTTTCTATGGTGATTATATTACCTTCAGGGAAAATTAAAGGCTTTGTAGTGCTCTTAAACTGAATTAGGATCATGATGATATTGTTTATTGCAATAATTCTGCAGACGACAAGCTCTTGTCTAGAATTCTAATATCGTCAAAGCATACTGTGGCATCAGTGTAGAGACTTCCACCATGAGAAGTGCTCTTTGTTAAAACACCAAGGCAGAAAAAGCACATAACATACAGTCAATCTTGCGGGTGAGGTCACTGTGTCACTGCGTCCCCCACACTGAACCTTGCGAGTGGTGGGCCCACATGGTCCCCCCCACGTTGCCTCTACAGGCTGAGCCTGGCCACCAGGTGCTCACCAAGGTACACTATCCCCAGGCCTGGCTCCAGGGTTAGTCCTTGGTAACCCTCTCCCAGGCAGGGTACACGATCTCTTATGTCCTTTGGTCATGGAGGATTTTGGATCATGTTAGTCTGGGTCTTCACTCCAGACTTGTTTGCCTTGTGAGACCCTACCAGGAGCATACCGCTCCAGACAACTTAGCTCCGAAGATCCCTAGACCACACAAGCCCTTCTGCCATGCCAAGGCTGCTAACTGCAGCAGACTAAACTGATTTCAATATGCTGATTAAACTCAAAGATCCCATTTGAATACATAAAATCATCCAAAAATGTTCTCCTAACTTGAAATAGCTGAGTAATGTGGGATACAGACTTAATTTACAGACGTTAAGAACATTTTAAAAACATTCCTCTCAATTAATTAACTTTGTTTGTTTTCTCAGCACATACAAGAACCAGTTCTACACTTTTGGAGAGCAACATAAAAGTAGGTATGATCCACATCGCATTGTAAAACATTGCAAAACACTGAACACAGCAGAGCTTTAATAGGCTCCGCTTACTCTGCTCTGGCACCATGCCAAAATATTAACACTGAGATCTGGATATCCGCGAATCCACTGATATCTGGATCCAGAGGCTGCAAATGTGCCGTGTCTTGATTGGATGGTCAATCAAGAATACGACGATCAGATTATGGTGATTAGATGTTAATGCCAAGTTTAAACAAGGCCCTAATATGTTCTTCATTAAAGCGAGCAGAAATAATGTTCCTTATAATGCTGCGATAAGATCTGAATTTCAGCCTCAGTGTTTTCCTCCAGACAGGCCTGATGGACATCTTGAATATCAATGTGGTGGAGAACTCCACCGACACTGCCGTCTTCCGGATTCATGTCGAGTGCACCGATCCTGTCCTGCTACGCTACTGGATCCGGAAGGGGTTTTTCTACAACGGAGAGGTGCAGCAGACCGACCTGCTGATCCAGGAGGACTGTACGGGACTGGAGTTTGTGCTGAGAGTGCTGCACCGCTGCTCACGCCTGCCAAATGACTACTATCTCAGCCCTTTCCTGGTCACTCTCTGCTTGGACGCCCTGGTCTTTAACTACCACCTGCCTCAGCGGCCCAACTGGGATGGCACCATCCGAGAGGCGATGAGGGGAAACTGCCTGGAGCTAAGACGCTGAGAAGCAGCCAAACAGTCTTCTGTAACTCTTCTACATTGATACAAGCATGCAATAAACGTGTAATAGAAGATTCCATATACTGTCATAGTTGTTATGACAGATTATGTCCAGTAATACAACGCGGTAATGTTACCAGTACTGTTAACTGTCATGACAGTTGTCATAATGACATATGACATCTGCCATAACATGTTTATGGCATTGTTATGTCAGTGTTATGTAGTTTTATGTATTTCTACATATTTTAATGCACAATTTCTGTTTATTTGATGAATGTAACATATTAGGAACATAAAATGTGGCCTGCTGTGCAAAAGTGGCACATTTTACATTTTAGGATGTTTTGCTTTTTTACCAACGTGTTAAACTCAGCTTATAAATAGAAATTGTGCATTAATATTTGCAGACAAATGTCATAGTGTGTTCTCTGTAGAGGACATGCTTATTTTCACTTAGATATGTAACAAAATATGTAATTTGAGCTTTCAAACATGTGGCCATTCTGACAGATTACAGTACTCCACAGGAAGCATAGGGGGCAGTATAGCTTTAATTGTTTCGTTGCACAATAAAAGGAAAAAATGCCACAAGGACTGCCACAACTGAAGGTATTTGCTAAGCACTGACCTCAAAACAGGGAAAAACAAACCTGCTGTCTCTTGCTTTGTGCAGAAAGCAATAATGCCTAACATAACTTTTAATCTGTTTGTCTGACATTTATGCCTTTGGATTTTATGGGCCACATGCAAAGCTGGATAACTGTTTGTAGTTATTATATTTATTAATGATACTTTCACACTTCAAATAAGCAGCGTTCATATGCTTCCAGTCCATCCTGACGATGGTCTTGGAAAAAATTATATTTTTTTGTTACCTATGATCAGCTTTTGTTATATTCTGAGGTCAAAATGTTAATTGGTTAAGCGTTTAACTCTAATTTTGATTTAATTTTTGGTCAGTGTCAAAAAATATTTCACATATTAATTAAGTGATTTTATTTGTGGTTTGTGATTGTTTATTAATAAGATTATAATTCTGAAAGTACCTTTGAGAAGTCATTTTGGGTGGGCCATCGACAAAAGTGGGTGGGCACAATCACACCACCACCACTGCTTACAGCAGAGGAAAAATGGCAAACTGCTTCATTCCATTGCAAGCCAAGTTTTTTGTGCGGTAGTTTATATTCTGTTGCTGCAAGAAGCACCTAAAACAACGAAAACTCCTTACCGTTATAGAGGTAGTATGTTCCGTCCTTGAACACGGCAACGGATGGAACCTCTTGCAGACTTACTGCCTGAAATTGTGAACAAAAAAGTGTTTTTGGTGCTTTACATAAACATTAAATCACAAAACAAGGGTTTTCTGCAAAGTAGAAATCAGAAGGGAATGAAGTTCACCTGTGGCAAAACCTCCTCAGAGGCGGAGAAGAAATAGTTGTAGATGATAAATTCAGCTGCCACTTTATAGTACTGGCCCTAAAGAGTGAAAAAAACAGTATAACAGTTGCAGTATGTAGTGGCATGCTAAAACATTTCGCTTACAAAGCTAAAAATTATGGTAATATGTTTTCAGTCTATTTCAAGACATAAATAGAGTGGTAACACCTTTTTTGAACGCTGCCTACAGAGAGCCTTCAAAAGACAAGCATAAGCATATTTAGGCCATATTTATAAAGCCATTAGGGACCTTAAACTAAAATTAATGACATTTATAACACGCAAACATTTTTGCAAGGCCGTGTTTACATGCAAACATTTTTGCCAATCTGATTGAATACGTTCCGATTATAGATTAAGACTGAGGTGTTTATATGCACTCTACTCAACAATCTGATGGAAAATCTCAGTTTACATGCACACAACAAGTAATCCAATCCAAAATTATGCGCATGTGTAGAGAACCACTTAGTGTAGACGTTACCGTGACAACCAGCATCACGTGAGTCCAGTCAGAGTGAGATGAGCAGCAGTGAGCAGTGCTTGTGTTTTTAATTCCTTAAAAAATGATGTCAGACTCAGGAAAACGTACTTCACATGTCCTTATTAAAGAAGGCCGAGAGGAAGACGTCGTGTTCTGAGACACATAAGCTGGACGTCCGTCCCACCGCCGTCTTTTAAAGATCAGAGCATAAACTTCATCTCCTCTGCAGACCAGTTTCTGCTCCGCCATGTTGAACGTTATAAACTTTCACTATGACGCGACACACATATGCAGAACGCACTTACACTTTTCAGTTGGGAATGCTCAAGTATTTCTTTATAATTAGGTATTTAATGCTTATGCATGTGTTATGAAGGTCCTATGTAGGTAGCCTTCAAATAAAGTATTGCCGACAGAATACAGTGTAATATACAGTCACTGTATAATGTCCAAAATCACTTGTAATAAAAACTCTTTATAATAACCTTCATTAAAAGTAAAGAACGTTTTTGCCCTTTCCTGTAAAGTTACTATTTTGGAGATCTGTGTTTTCCTTTGGGCAGCAACAAAATTTTCTGTGTATCCCTTTTTTTGTATAAGTTGCCCTATTCGAACTGTAGGAACTTCAGTTGAAGTAGAAGTTTCAGACAGTTAGACATCTCAGTAGAACTTCAGCGTTTGTTTTCTGACATTTACTTCTGCATGACTGAATTCTTTTGAACCATATACTACTGCATATATGTTATTTATTTGAATGTATGGTGTACGTATTTGCTTGTAAAAGTGGTAAACATTGTAAAATGACTTACATTGTCATCATATGTTTATGAATGTTCATTTAACATAGTGAAAACACTACATTTGAAGGTTATGTACTTAGAGTACATGTCAAACTTTGCATAATGCATTTAAAAGCAATGCTTGAGTATTTATTAACAGCTTATGCCAGCATTCACAAGATGTTTTGTGAAATAAATGACACTGTATTGGCATAAGATGCCTTAAACTAAGATGACAGATGTTTGTTCCATTTATAATATTGTTATAAAGGCAGATATCTAGATAAGATAACTATCTAGATAACACCATATATTAGTTATACAAATGATTTTTAAGCCCTCAGAGTACAGCAACCATTTTCATGGTGCTTATAACTAGGCTTTTGACCTCTATTACCCAGTAATGATTCCTTATAACAGTGTTATAATCAGAACAAATGATCATCATTTTAGTTTAAGGCCCTTTGTGTCAGTACAACATAATTTATTTCATAAATCATCTTGTGAATGCTGATATAAGCTGTTCATATTCAAGTATAGCTTTTTAAATACGTTATGCAATGCTTGTGCATGTGTTATGAAGCCCCTTTGTAGGTAGCCCTCATTATATACAAACACTTTGTACAAGGCCTTGCGTACCCTGAGGGGTGACCTCCCTCCGATGTAAAGAAAGAAAAGGTCATGTCGGCTCATGACGTGCTGGAACAACTGGACGCTGGTCAAGGGCCGCACTACTGGCCTGAAGAAACAGTAAAATAAGATTAGTATTGAATATATGAAGCAGGAGATACAGTCTTATTATTATTATTAATTATATTATTAAACTGTTTGTTACATATTTACAGACCCAATTCCAAAAAAGTTGGGACGATATAGGAAACGCTAAGAAAAACAGAAAACAGTGGTTAGTAAATTCTGTTTGACCTGCATTATATTGAAATTGGTACAAAAACACTACATTTGATGTTTTATTCTATAAATTTAATTCTTTTTGTATTCTTTTATGCTTATTCCAATTTTTTTGCCTGCAACACAGGACAGGAGCCTGTTTACCACCATGTTACACCCCCTTTCTCTACTCTTCACCATGCTATTGTAACACATGCAAGACAGCATCTAAAAGGCAGCATGTGTTGGTCCAAAATGTGTTCAGCATTAATAGTGCTTTCACAGATGTGCAGGTTACTCACTAATATTGCCCCGTACCATGACAGACCCTGGCTTTTGAGCGCTGGTAACAATCTGAATGTTCCATTTTTTCTTTGGCCTAGAGAACACGAAGTGTATTATTTCCATAAATAATCTGAAAGGTTGACTTGACAAACCACAAAACACGTTTCCATTGTGCATCAGTCCATTTCAGATGAGCTCAAGCCCAGAGAAGTCGGCAGTGTTTCTGCATGCTGTTGACGTATGTCTTCCACTGTGCACAGTACAGTCTTAATATCTGTGGATGCAGCGTTTATTGCAATGATGTTTCCAAGAATTTCCAAGCCTATGCAGTAAAATCATCACAGAAGCATGCCAGATGTTAAGGCAAAGCCGTCTGAAGGGTCAAAGGTGGTTTTCAGCCTTTTCCTTGATGCACAGAGAATTCCCTGGATTTCCTGAATCTTTTGAAGATATTATGCAGTGTAGAGGGTGAAATATATAAAATCCTTGCAATCCCTGGCTGAGAATTGTTATTTTCAAACTAAAACTATTTTTTTACTCATGCATTTTTACAAAGTGGTGCGCTTCAACGCATGCATGCTTATAAAGGACTAAACCTTTCCTGGATGCTTCTTTTATATCCAAGCATGATTGCGTCACCTGTTTAAGATGTTTTTAATCTTAAATTGCCCCTGTTCCAAATTTCTTTGCAACATTTTGCAGGCATCAGTTTCAGAATAGGCAATGACATTCACAAAAACAATGCAGTTGATAAAATAAAACATTACATCTCATGTCTTTGTACTGTTTTTGTACAAATACAGATCAAAGTAAATTTTTAAATCACAGCTTTCTGTTTTAATGTGCATTTTACCTATTGTTCCCTAATTTTTGGGTCCATCCGCCGATACAGAACAACAGATTTTCATTTTTTATGGCTAAATCATCATATTATGTGGACAAAATACTGAAGTGATGCACTGAATTTACTTGGTTTAAATGTATATCATTTCCGCCTGAATAAATTATATTTTATTATACACAATAATATATTTATCATACTATTCTATACATTTTTACACACCTCTGTCTTTTATTTTACTTACTTTTGGCAATAATTGTGTTGATATAGGTGGAAATGATGCACACATTTGAATCACTGATATATAAACAAAGTCTTTCAGAGTGGTTTGATGTGAAATGGTTTATTGTAGAGACACATAATGACTCGGATTTTATTAAAGCGATGGTGATAGGAACCAGAGGTTGTGATGTCTACAACACAAATATAGACATTTTATTTACTATCTAAATGACCAGTGAGCCTACATGTGTCTTCTGAGTGTTTATATGTAATGTAACTCCCTGCATGTATCTCTCTGCCATGAATGGTTAAAAATATGTTTTAGGCCAAAACTTTACATCTAAATTAGTGTAAAATATATTCATAACTAACATTCATAACTATTTCATGCAATATCTTTCTGTGATGTAGCTTTTAGAGGTATTAAACTCTTCAGACATCTGGTTCCCATCATCACCACTGAACAATTCTTACTTGGCAAGTTTTTCTAGAATTGAACATTTTACATCAAAACTCTTTCAATGACTTTGTTTACATCTTAACCATTTCATTCTGCAGATGGTTTTTAAAAACCAGTGGAATCCTACTTTAATGTGTTTCAAACATTTATAAATGATACAATCAGGTTAAACTGGTTACATAAACTGGTTCTTTGGTTTATTTGAAATTTGGGCCTAGCACTAGTCTGTTTAGTTCTGCCTCATGAATAATAAAGTGTTTGCTTTACACACAGTGTGAACGTGTTAATACACAGCAATGAACACTAACTATACTGAGAAAACAACAAATGCCTGCGAGACTTTTTACCCAGCGACTCTGTTGGTGAACTCGATGATTCCATCTTTTGTCCTTGGGCCTCTATACTCAAAAGACTTCTCTCCTTTCACACTTGTCACAGGAAAAAAAAAACAGAAAATACAGTTATAGAGATTTGACAGTACATTTAATTCGACAATAGAACATAAAAAACTATAATGAACACTTTTAGCAGATATTATATGTTTCATTCTGTCCACATACACACATATATAAAATAATGTTATAATTAATAATAACTGCAATAAAAATTTCTTCAACCAAGACAAGAATTTTCAAACGCCCTTTATTGTGCTACAGTCATTTATTGAATATATTAATAAATTAATAGTGTTTTTAGGTACGATGTGAAACAGTCACCTTATAATATATATATATATATATATATATATATATATATATATATATATATATATATATATATATATATATATATATATGTCTGTTGTCGGAACAAAACCTCGTATCTCCTACTTTATTTTTAATGTAAGTCAATGGAACCAGACTTTTTTCCAAATCATTTTATGCTGTTGACCAAAGTCCATTCATCATAAAATTTACACACAATGTAAAGGACATATATATATATATATATATATATATATATATATATGTATATATATACATATAGTGTATATAATGTTTAATGCAGAATATATATATATATATATATATATATATATATATATATATGTATATATATATACATATAGTGTATATAATGTTTAATGCAGAAACATTAGTTTTTGCTCAGCATCAAGCTAACCTTCCTACATTCGGTTTTAATACTATTTTATCTACTAAAACACATACACTAACCAAGCACTTTATTAGGAACACCTGTACACTTATTCATTCAAGCAATTATCTACTCAGCCAATTGTGTGGCAGCAGTGCTGTGCATAAAATCATGCAGATATGGCCCAGCAGCTTCAGGTAATGTTCACATCAACCATCAGTCTCAGTGATTTTGACTCTGGCATGGTTGTTGGTGCCAGACGGTCTGGTTTGAGTGTTTCTATAACTGCTGATCTCCTGGGATTTTCACACACAGCCATCTCTAGAGTTACTTAGAATGTGCAATAAAGAAAAGAACATCCAGTGAGTGGCAATTCTGTGTTGATCAATGGAGAATGGTCAGACTGGTTTGAGCTGAAAGGCTACATTACTTCATGTAATCGCTCTCTACAACTGTGGTGAGAAGAAAAGCATCACAGAATGCACAACACTTTGAACGCTGATGGGCTACAACAGTAGAAAACCATGTCAGGTTACACTTCTGTCAGTCAAGAACAGAAAACTGAGGCTGCAGTGGGCACAGGCTCACCAAAACTGGACAGTTCAAGGCCAGGGTAGGGTCAAAACAACATGAATCCATTGTATTGCATCAACAGTCCAGGCTGGTGGAGGTGGTGTAATGGTGTGGGGAATGTTGTCTTGGAATACTTTGGGCCTGTTAATACCAATCATCATTTGAATGCTGTAGCCTATTTGAGTATTGTTGCTGACCATTTGCATCCCTTCATGCCCACTATTTTCTAATGGCTACTTCCAGCATGATAACACACTATGTCACTAAGCAGCAGTCGTCTCAAACTGGTTTCATCAATATGACTATGAGTTTAGTGTTCCTCATTGGTTTCCAACATCTTACATTGGTATATACATGGTGCTTGGTGATTGTATGTTTGTAAGACATTCAAGTAACATATTCTTTACTTTTACATCAAAGCTTTACAGTGAATCATTCAGTGCATGCAATTTAAAGCCTAACACTGAATATTAATAGAGGAGCGGTTTAGCCTGCTAGCTATCTTTTAGCCTATTTTGTGTGGTATCTTTTAGCCTAATTGTTGAGAAAATAAGTCGTCAGTTCCGGGTTCAAAACCAGGTTCTTACTTCAACTGTTACTACACTTGATGGTCCATATGAGCAGCATAACAGTTCATTCACAGTACAATGATTTTTACTGACTTAATGCAGAATTCAGTTGTTGTGAAGCTTCATAGGTGGAGTATTTCACAACGGCTTCAAACGTGGCCCAGCCAATCAGGTTTTAGTAATGAACCATCTTCATTTCTAGATATTTTATTCAATAAGTATTTTGATAACAAAAAGTATTTTTTTTAGTAATTTTGTAGTTATATATTTACAACATTCTTTGTCTATTTACTGGTCTTGAGAATTAATCACTACTATTTTAGTCTCAAAGAACACGGCACTTTTCATTTTTTCATCATCTACAAATCTGCTAATCATTCTAGACACTTTAGTAGAATTTCTATTTTTTCTACTACTATTTATTTGAAACATATGATTTTGCATGTGCAGGTTTTTCCATTGTTGAAGACACTGGGTCCAAACTTTTGAAGAGTAGTGCACAAAAATACAGACAGAGAAATGGAGACACTACATGTGATTGATGTGTTAATAGGCTTTGTCAATAATAGTAAAAAGGACTGTAAATACTCACAGGATTATTGCTGGATATCCACGAATATTAAACTCTGAAAGAACACCTAAAAGAAAAGGATAAAGAAACTGTAAGTTCTTAAAACAAGGATTTCTACGACTCTGGAAAACATTTGTTTAAGAGCTAGATATCATGAAAAGCTAAATAATAATAAAAAATAAGAGTTTGCTATTTGATGTAAACATTGTTAAAGTTATCAAAATGTACTGTTCACTCCCCAAATACGGAAACTAAGTTGGAAAAACAGCTCGTTTGAAAATTTCCATATATCCACCTATTCAGCCTACAGCAGTTTAGCTCCACCGATTCACACTGAAGTTATAAGGAGTGTTTCAGTCCAGGCTGCTTTTTGAAGGTGGCACAATACAGGACAGCCAATCAGAATAGAGCTCATTTACATACAACAGATAACAAAAACAGCCTGATTAATTCTAAGGGCTAAAGAGAGGCTGGAAAATGATCATGTAAAAAATAAATTACAATTGTCTTCGGTATATTAAACCCACACAAACAGAAAAGCACCTCAGAGAAAAAAATAATAAAATACAAGAAGAATATAGGATATGGATATTGGATATAGGATATAGCCCTTTAATATGGCTAATAGGTTTTTTACAAGTAATTTCAAACTACTTCTATTAGTCCCTTTATATACAATGCCTAGATGTCTTTAAGAAAAATAGACCTTTAAAATGGTACAAATAAATAAATAAATAAATAACAATGACAAAAATGAGGCCACAAGGTTTTTCTCCAACAAGGACACATCATTCAATGAGCTCAACATGTTTTATTACTGGTTCAGCTAATCTCATTTAAAATAAACTGTAGTAGTGAAAACAGCAAGTGCTCATTTTTTGTTTGAAGGGAAATTGAACTGTTTAAAAATGTACATCTGCATAATTAAATCATCACATTGTAAACAAAGTTACTCGTAGTAGTTTGATGTAAAATACATCAAATATTTTGTATAGATATATCAAACATATCTGGAAAAAAAATCTAATTCAGTAAGTTTCTCTACAGTGAATCATTCCACCTCAAACCACTCTGACTGACTTGAATGTATTGTGCAGAAATTTTACAAAATTGGTGGAATTCCCCTTTAAGATGGGCACATCCTAAGAGCTTATATTTTAGGTAAGCAGGCTTACTTAAAATAGCCTCCAGGAGAGGATTTATGCTGAGGATACAATTACTTTGCTGACCCTGCAGTTAAAGGCCAATAATATACAGCACATTTTCAGAGAACGTTGGGAACTAGAGCCATTTCTGCTTACTGGAAATGCAGCCCACGCTAGCGGACCATCTGGATATTAATAAGAGAGAGCGCCATATACAGCATGTCCAATGAGAGACTCTCCAGGAGGTATTAGGCCTTTTAACTAATCCCATTAGAAACAGATAAGCCCTTCTTGCCAGTCGTGCTAGAATGTGATTGGATGCTCCACAATGGCCTATTAGCTTTAGCTTCACTCTGACTGAAGCAGGTCATATTTATGTCTATAATGGTGCAAACAAATAAATAAATGAAATAAATATTGCTATTTAAACATGTATGTATATATATATATATATATATATATTTACATATATATATATATTAGAAGTTGGTTGCATAAGTAATCCCAATATATATATATATATTTTTTTTATATTTATATATATATATATATTGGGATTACTTATGCAACCAACTTCTAATATATATATATATATATATATATATATATATATATATATATGTGTGTGTAAATATATATACATACATGTTTAAATAGCAATATTTTTGGAGCTTAAAAATAGCGCCGCTTGCTTCCATACTTTTGATCTGTGGTATATTATAATATATATATATATATATATATATATATATATATATATATATATATATATATAAGCCCATTGGCTTCTATTATAAGTACAGAGAAATTATTGTGAATGCTACAGATGCAACAGGCAGAGATTAGGTTGAAAATGACTTTAATAAACATACAGTCATGCGCAAAAGTTTAGGCACCCTGGTCAAATGAGGTATTGTTGATATTTTAAGTGCAAATAAATTAACACATGTTCTACAGAGTGCACACTTCTGCATATTTCAATGCTCAATTACAGTTCATTTGCTTAATTTAACAAACTGGATGGAATAAAACATACAATGTGGCCTGTGCGAAAGATACAGCACATTTTACATGTTATATTTTTTTCCTAATATGTTAAACTCAGCATATAAATGGAAACTGTGCACTAAAATTAGCAAATAAATGTCATTTTTAGGTGTGTTCTCTGTAGATGATGTGTTCACTTATTTTTACGTAGCAAATCAACAAAACGTGACTGACAGGGGCGAAACTTCTGCATAAGCATATTTTGAATGTGACTTACTGCTGTGGACCGTAGTGTCAAGCTTGCCCACATTAACGGGCGAGCCCAAACTCTTCAGCTCCGCACCCACTTCGTACCATATCGGCTCGAACGTCTTGCAGTATTCGCACCACGGAGCATAAAACTGCAATACAGATTGCAACAGTTAGGACAGCATGTACAGCCGTATGCAAAATTTGGTTGCCGTTGACCAGATTTCATGTTTTTTTGATTCTCTAAGTGAAAATAAATTACCACATCCTCCACAGAGAACACACTACTGCACAATTACTGTTTATCTGCTGAATTTTGCATAGAGAGAAAAATAAAACATAAAATGTTTTAAATGGCCTGTGCAAAAGTTATGGCACATTTCATATTTTATGCTTTATTTTTTCCAATATGTTAAACTCAGCAAATACATAGAAAAATGTGCAATAAAATTTGCAGGAAAATGTTAAAGTGTGTATTGGGTAAAGGATGTATGAACTTATTTTCACTCAGAAAATCAATGAAACATGTCATTTGACAGGGGTGCCCAAATTTTTGCATACAACTTTATGGCAAAGTAGGACTGGATTAAAAGTCACAAAGATACAGACTCACCTCCACTAGCCACGGCTCACTCTTTCGGTTCTCATTAAACCTGTAGAGAAAGGAATCGTAATGAAATATTATCCTTTTTAATATTTTCCCTTTGTAGTATTGCTAATACACACTGTAGGCATTGATAATCAGTGAGCTAAAGAAACTGCAAATGGTGCAAGCAATGAACAAAATTAGCCTACTTGTCATCGAGTTCTTCAACGTATGCCGACACGACACTTAAGCCTAATAGAAAAGCTGAGACACCAACAGAAATAGCAATAAATACAAACACAGGCAAACAATCAACCAGTCAATCACTCAATCAACACAAACACAGGTAAACAATAAACACTAACACAAGCTCTACCTAATAGCCTGATATTTATTTCCTTGATAATAGAACAAGCTTCCTTTCATTTTTCATATAAACATTTATGCTTTAGCCTTTTAATGTTTTGCTGATCTGTGAGTTGTAATTACAAGTGCTAAATAAATAAAAATAGATTTTTATTATTCTTATTCTGTTTGATGTCCTACCTGGAAACATGAAGACTCTTGCTCCTGCCATTTTCATCAGCCGTGCAGTGGATTAGAAAATAAAAAGAAGAGAGAGGCCGCGAACATAATTGCTGGACCGCAAACTAGTAACCCACTGACCATGTGTCAGATTAGGCCCACGGATTAGAGGCTGTCTGTAAGGAAAATCTGGAAGACGGCTATGTGCACCTCCCTCTACAAAAAGCCTGCTTGAAATGTGTCTCAGTCTAAATGGACAGTTTAATCTCTATGGACGAAAATATGGCCACTTTATTCACCTCCACAATATACAGCACTGTACAGTCTCCTTACTGCAGAGATGGTACTGACCTCCTGCTGCCTGAACTGATCTGAATCACATCACTATATCACTGCTTTTGTTAATACACACTGTGCAATATATCATAACCGCTACTGTAATGACACGGCGCACTGTAAATACCGCTGTTACTCCTAGTTATGTTTATATTCATTGTGTTGTAAATGACCTCATACCACTTAGTGCAATACCTGCCCTCATGTAAATACAACAAATCTGTCTTAAATGCTACGTAAATGTGCAAATACATATACTTAATTCCTACTTTCACATACTTTAAGTTATGTCTACATTTTGTATTCCTGCCTAATTTATGTCTATTTTTATTTGTATTTTTATTCCTGCCTAGTATATGTATGTAAGTTTATGTGCAATGATATGTCTTACTACTGTAACACTGCAATTTCCCTTAGGGATCAATAAAGTTCTATGTATGTATGTATGTATGTATGTATGTATCTATCTATCTATCTATCTATCTATCTATCTATCTATCTATCAGAGACCACCCTTCATTTACTACATTTCCAGTCAAAACGGCCATTAATTACAAGTTATTCACTTTCAGTGTCAGAAAAAACGCAGAAAATATTCAACAATTGCACAAAAGCCTCAACGACTAAATATATATTTTTTTCAGTGTTCATTGTGTCCACTCTTTACCTTTACCTCAGCGCCCATTCTTTTCAGAAAACTTGCTTTCAGATATTTTTCCAAACCTCCAAAGTTCAGTCTTAGAAGTTGGTTGCACTTTCTGCTTCTCATGATCCAAACAATCTCACATTCAATAATGCTGAGGCCTGGACTCTGGGATGGTCAGTCCATTGTTATGAGAACACCAGTCGCTTCTTTTTTGTCTACTTCCTTTTCTCAGTAAGAGCTTCTTGACAGCTACACATCCTTTCAGACCCATAGCACTGAGTTGTCTTCTTACAGTGGAAAGATGGACAGAGTGGAGCTTTAAGTATTGTTTATCTGATGGGGACCGCCTTGATGGTCCACCACGGTTGCTAGGAGTCCCATTTGGGATAATAAACTCCAGTTTTGGAAGTTGGAAGTTTGTTCTTGTACTTGAATTCCTCATCCCTATGCAAGTGGTGGGGAACTCCTGTCCTGGAAGACCATATTCCTGCACAGTAATCCCCCCACGGTTGAGGATTTTCCCTCTCAAGCGCAGCCGATTCAACTCATTACCTATTTACCAGGCAGATTTGGTGCGATAGAGCAGAGAAATCATCAAACTACTGGACTCCGGCCCTCAATTCCCCACCTGGGGCTTGAAAATGGCTTGCACATATTGTGCATTAAAAGGTGGATTGCAGTCTCTAACAGCACACCAGCTAGGTGGGAGCACAAGGTAGGGATTTACAGTGAAGTGTCCAGTGAGAATGCGTATATATATGGTCATCTCTTTGTCTTTTACATATATATATATATATATATATATATATATATATATATATATATATAACTTTTTATATATTTTTTTTTCACTGCAGCACTAGCCAGCTTTCCTGAAGCTGTTGTTAAACCTGTATTAGGACAATAGATGGCGCTACAGACATAAGAACTAAATGTTGTTGTGGTCAGATGTCTGGTAATTTCTGTTTTGTTTTGTTTTTTTTTCTTTTAGACATTTTCTACGTATTTTAGACATTTGATAAACCATTTGTCTTAATTCTCAAAAGGAAAAAGCATAGGTCTATTTTGTAATGAGGCATACGAGTAATTACATTCATGTGTTTAATTACTTTAAACATTATTTTAAACATATTTATCACATATAAATAAACTTACCTTTTACATATTTTGAATGTAGGATAATAATATAATACATAAAAAATGTACTTTTATCACTTCCGCTTACTTAGTTCCCAAGTACTCTTGAACGCGCACTCTTTAATCCAATTGGTTGACGAGCAAGCAGGGAAAAGTTTTGATTGGCGTAGAGCAGCACGCATTTGTCACAGCGCACGTCTTCTTGATTTTCTATTGGACAAAACTTGTGCCACTCAACATAAGTTCTCGCCTCTGATTGGCTGAAGCGAGTGTCACTCTGAAAGACCATGAAAACGCAAGTTTAAGCGAGGTGAGGAGGAGGGCGGGAAGAGCAGCTCGATTCAATTAGCGAACCGATTCTTTTTACCCTCCCGTTTTAATGATTTGAACAATTACGTCACATGTCGAAGCCAACTGTGTTCTCGTCTGTTCGACCAGGCTCTGGTTTAGTAAGCGAGTCTGATCTGCTTTTTACTGAAGGCCCAAACAAGCAGCAGAAAAAGGAAGCCTGAAACCGCATACAGATTCAAAGCATGAGGATGTTCTTAAATGGGGAATTCAACCAAATTTTCAAAATTTCTAAACTAACTAAATTATTAAGATGTAAACAAAGTCATTCAGAGTGTGCTTTTGTGAAGTGCACAAATCCAGAGAAACTTAGCGAGTCAGAAAGTACACAGTGGTGGTGATGGGAACCAGATGTCTGAATCTTTTAAATGTCTCTGGCCACCTCCATAGAAAAATATTAAAGGGGTTAATATGGTTAATATGTGAACAAAGTCATTCAAGAGAGTTTTGGTGTGAAATGCTTCATTCTAGAGAAACTTACAGAGTCTTGTTACCGAGAATTGTTCACGGTGGCGGTGACACGAACCAGACGTCCACGTCTAAAGGCTCCCTTACAGAAAGTTACATTAAATGGTTATGAATACACTGCCTGATGTCTGACACGTTGTTTATGATAGTTTTGTGATGAGGTTTTGGCCTTAAATGTATTTCCATCCATTTATTTTATCCCATTCATGGTGGAGGGGTACACGCAGGGCACTGAAAGACAAATAGTCCCCAAAGAAAACTTTTTTTTTCAAATTCATGGCGATTTTACCGTCATCAGCGTCTCAGAAGAGACATGTGGGTTCACTGGTGGTTTCGGATGGCAAACTGTTTACATCTCAAGATTTTAATTATTCAGAAATTTTGAAAAAAAAAAATGGTGGAATTTCCCTTTAACCCTTTAATGTCCTCACTGAGGAAAAAAAAAAAGCAATGAGCAATAATAAAAAAAAATAGTGTTTTATTTTTTTCGTTTTTTTGACCCTACAGTTTTTAAAATATCCACGTCTGCCAAACGGTCGAGATGACAGTGACTCAAAATGTGCTCTACTAAATGCTGAGCAGAACATTAAAGGTTTAAATGAAATGGTTACAAATAAAGTTGTGAGATAAAGTTTTGGCCTAAATTGTTGTTTTTTTTTTGTTTTTGTTTTTTTTTATTAGTTCATGGCGACGTGACACATGCAGACAAAAGGTCTCTAAAGAAAAGTTTTTTTGTTTGTTTGTTTTATTTTTTATGTATCACTATATTTACCACTATAAACATTACATATAAAAACTGACAAGACACGTGTAGGTTCACTGGTGACTGGATAGTAAATATAATGGCTCTATTTTATACATCCAGTTAGTTCATATCGCTACAACTGCAAATAAATCTGCAAAATAATCACTGTATGTTATAATTTTGCTGTGTCAAATTGTGAAAGATTATCATCCGAGTCTAATTATTCTTCAATTCCTTGTGAACATGTGAATCGGTTCAACCGACTTCTTCAAAAGAACCGGTTCCAAAGAACCGATTCGCTTGCGAGTCATATATCGCTGTGGAGGAGGAGGAGTCGATTGACATGGAGAATCCCCCCCACACGGCCGAGAATATTTACTTCAGTGTGTTTCGGCGGAGATGAACTTCAGTAACGTTTTCGCGGAGGTTTCCTGGATACATTTAAGCCACACTTTGGGAGACGAGCTGAAATACTGAACGCGACGGCGGGAGGAAACGAACCAAATACCCTGGAAAGGAGAGGAACGGCACCTCAAGCGTTGTTTATTTTGTCCTGACCACTCCAGCCTTTTCCTGTGGACAGTAACGTTGCGCAGTTTTGTTGCTTCCACGTTTGAAGGACCGTTTGGCGTGTTGGTCCTGTCTCTGGTCGTTTTTTTAAAGCTGTGGTCAGTAACGGTCTCTAGCAGGCGCGAGGAAGGAACGTTCGGGAACCTGTAGTTTGTGGAGCTCAGATGTAGCTAACGAGGCTAAAACGCTGAACTTTGCAACCGTCGAAATTTCTTCATGTTTTGTGGACCGCGGGGGATGAAAAGTGCTTATTGTCGTCTCAAGAAATGCGATGGGATTAAGTGAGGCCTTTCGACACAACAGCAAAACTTCTCAGCTTCACTACAGACGGTCAGGTAAGAGGCTGAGGCTGAGCTTTCTCCTGCAGCACTCCAGTGTCACACCTTTACTCCGAGCTGAAGTCAGCTTCTTGCTCGAATTTCCCCGTTCCACCTTAAATGGTACAGCAGTTACATACTGATAGAGTGTAACTACTGCACCATTTAAGGTAGTACGGGAAAGTTCAACTAGGAGGCCAACTTCAGCCTCGTCA